GTATGAGTTATAAGCGGCTGAATCTAGTGGTCAGATCCTATATTCCCATGTATCTTGACCCGCTGAACACGAATCCGAAGTCAGATATGGCCCATAAAGTCACAAATCTTTCCTAATCTTAAACAAGCTTAAAAATCCACAAAAGTAATAAATGATCGAGGTATGATTTAACAGCGACTGAAGATACTGGTCGGATCATAGAAGCTAATTTATTAATTTTGGATTTTTAAGGATTTGCAGGCCAAATCTGATTTCGGATTGTGTTCAACGGGTCAAGATACATGGGAATATGAAGATCTGACCACTAGTTTCAACCGTTGATAAATCATAAATGCTGATTTGTAGATTTTGTGGTTTCTTTAAGCATTTTTTGATGTTAGAAAATTCTGCTGATTTGCTGGAGAATTCTAACATCGGATTCGAATTCAGCGGCTTAAAATACATGGGAATAATTCTGGTCATTCGCACAAGATATTTTTTTTTGAGGAGCTCTGTAATTAATTAAAATTATTCATTAAAAATCCAAAAAATCAGGTAATGACGTAGAAATTTTGAATTTTAATTGTTTCGTTGAGTGAAGGATCCTCACTTAACGAGTGTTCCTAAAATAACAAAATTTGAACTCCAACGAATTTTTTAGACTTTTCACAATCAATACTTGTGATTAAAATAAACCGACAAGTCCGACATTTTTATATTTATATAACTGTTATGAACTAATAATCTTAGTAGATATTATTAAACCGACTTTTCATGATAACCTCATATATAAACCTCTACAAACACCTTAGACTCAAAAATTAAACAAGTACTTTATCATCATCGCGCTTATCAATATCTCTTCCAACACCGGCTCTATTTACTTTAGCATACTGGATTATTTCTTTCGAAACTGGTCTAGTTTCATCCACGAAACTTTTTAGAGAATAATTTGTTGACGCAATACATAAAATTTAAATGGAAACGAGTTTATACGTTTATCGCGCAATTAATTCTTCATCCAGGTGACTAATGAGTCACCCAAATTCTACATAGCTTTCTTAGAAGTGTCATACATCTCAATCGTACTCGTGAGGTACAGGAAGACACCGGATTTGGCAATAAGATAAACATAAAACCTGCTCTTAATTGTGTACACCTGACGGTACACTTTTGTTTGATCCGCTCCAATATCACCACCCTGTATGGACGTATTCCTGTAAAATGTTCGAGGAAGAATTTTTTTTCAAATTACATTTTATGTTGGCGCTAAGACTCATGGAAACTGTTTAATATTGGTATGTTGTAAGTATATTCTAATAAAATATGCAAAAGGTGACTAAGGCTGGATATATGTGTAACGTGATGTGTATATGAAGCTACGAGACTTGAAATTAAAAGACAAATTACAAAGGCTTGTAGGTGCCGTGGAAACAGGAAGACAAAAAGTTATTGTTTTAGTTCTTCATACTTTATTCCTAACGTGGTGCGCTCTTTGTGTGTAATAAAACGAAACGAATGCTAACACGTGCTTTAGGAAAAATGTTAATAATGCGTAAAGGAAAACACGTAATTTTAGTAATTACAGGTGATTGTAGTGTGGGTATCCTATCTAAACGGTTATTAAAAAGATTACTGATACAATATAATTAACCTAATTGTTTTACACAAGTCAAGTTGGTTTAGTTCAAATAACCTGAGATGCCTCGTGGGATGCTTTACTGTGGATGAAAATTGGACAGAAAAATCCAATATCAACTGCAAAAGTCTAATAAAACCATAAATACCTACTCGTTTCAAGTATTCAAATAATATACCTTCATCTCTCAAGTCTAAGAACAAAAAAGCCAACAAGTCGAATTCCACTTTTAATATTCAAATAATCATTATAAAAAATAAACGTTACTGCTGAAAACGACTATGAATGGTTTATTTTTTTGTTTATATTTAAAAAAATATATAACTTTCTATCTGTACCTACTTACCAAATGCAATTTCAAATCCTATTTCTTATGCGATCGAATTAGATAGATAACCGTCATATAAAACCTAAAGCCACTAGATATTTTAGTACCTACACCTACCTTCGTATACCTGTTTATTTCGTCTAAAAGAAATGATGCAAATCGAGCATTTCGCAAGCAAAAGCTAAAGTTGCCGGTCGAGATTAAGAAGTAGAATGCAGGAGGAAAAAATTAGTAACGCAAAACAAATTTAGCAACCACTTTCGATACCCGTTGTCCTCGTTGGCAACCAAAACAAAACATAACCACAATCTTTCGATACAAACAGAACTTACCTTTCCCGTTGCTTTCTTGTACCTTAAGGTCGCTTCTCTGATGAGGTCCCTAACTAGAATATCTCCATCACCACAAGGCACAACCACCCTAACATTCCCGAAACACACGGTCACCTTCATTTTTTTTTAAAACCCAGTGCACCTACTTCAGGTAACTCGATGACGCCATGGTGTGGTGCCCAGGTAACGTTTATTGCACCTCTGCAGGTGTACAGTGGATCAATTCAGCATGCACTGCACATTTTATCGTAACAATCACTGGATTCTTATTTAATCGTAAGTTAGTTTGATCACCAGTTCACATTTTAAAACAAAACAAAATACTGCCAGCTCCGCGATATGCTTTCTCTAACTTGGCATTTTACAAACTAAAAATTTCAAACGAGTTTTTTCTCCCTCTCTAACTACCTGGGGGCTCTGACCAATCACGGAGTGCACATGGAACATGTGGCCTGTGCTCTAACTACCGGTGGAATGTTGCATTCAGCATATTGCCAAGTCTCGTACCTGTGCCGCGTTGAAATAAATATTTGAGGTAGAGAAGGAATAATTAGTACAAACTTAAAAAAATTAAACAGTTAAATGTAAGACGTTATATTTTATTTTATGAAAATCAATTCAGCATAGGTGTCTGACATATTAATTTAATAATATTGGTATACACGGCAACGTTGCAGTTTTGCTCGCTCCTAACGACCAGGTACTGAACTATTTTGATGTTTGAATCATATAAACTTCAAATATTTGAGCTACATATTCTTCAGTATTGGAAAGTATCATTAAAAAAATAACTATTTAGTGAAAAATTTTCGTTTACTTGTAAAATGAAACTCTTACTTCCAAAAAAAATTAATTTAATTTATTTTTTGAACCACCTAATTAAACTCGGTTTGCACTGTTCATAGTAAAGTTCCGTTTACATACAGATTAGGCCATTTTGAGTCGAATAAGAAGCAACGGGTAAGTACCGTAATCTTTTTTAAGTCTTTTTCTAAGGAAGTACCTCTTTTAAAATAATGTTTTTGAACTAATAAGTACACCATGTGGTATTTTTCACAATTACATTTGTTTACCAGTTTGGTTAAATAAGAAAAATAAGAAAGAAAGGAAGCTTAAATAAGAAAAGTAACCAGACCAATATTAGTTTTTGACTAGTTTTGTAATCCTCGAGCAGAAATAAGTATGAATAAATTAAAAAAAAGAAATTACAATTAATTCCATGTTTTCAACCATCATTTTTCTTCACAGTTCACATTTTTGTTTGATTTAAACCACAAAACATGATTTAAACTGGTCCAGATGCAACACCGTAGTGACAATCAAGTAGTCTACTGACACTTGATGAAAACCGTTAATAACTTGAGAGAGCCTTGCTTCAAAAAGCAGAAAGTAAATATAATAATGAAGTATTCTTAAATTTAATTTTTATTGTTAACAGCTATCTTATCAATATTAGATGTAATTTTAATAGAGATGGGCACTTTTCGGAAAAGTGTATTTTGGACATGTCGATGAAATGTCCAGACATGTCAGTGACATCATGTTTTCATAGGTCACTGCTTGAGGGTACACAAAGCAAAATATTACATTTATTCTAATGAATATGTGTCGATCTATTTTACTTATTACCTACCTTTAGACTTTTTTATAAACTGGTTTCTAATTTTCCCCGTACAGCCAATACACTTCCACATGATTTTCCATCCTACTGGAATTCTTAAAAACTGTTTTTGAGCAGAAATTGCATTTATAATGATTTTTACTCAATTCAGAAAAATATAACCAAACTGTTGATTTTGGTGTCATACTTAATTTATAAACTATTTGTGTATTAAATATTAAATTAAGAATCAACTGATTACTATTTACTAATCGTTAACTTTGCCAAAAATAATAAAATATGGACTATAAGAGGTTATATTTTTAAAATGTCAGTTTCAGTTAAACAATTACTAACAAAATTACAAGAAAATGGCTAAATATTTTTAATTTTACATGTACCGACCTCAAAATTTTTTTGCTGGAATTATGAACGCAACAAATAATTCCGCGCATGCGCATACTTTTCAATCTTGAAAAGTGTCCTCAGGACATGTCCTCCTTTCACGACATGTCCGATGGACATGTCCAGCTGACATGTCCGCGGCACATACCTAAATTTTAAAGTACAAATTGATTTTTTTAAAATCAAGTGGTCAAGTAAAAGGTATTAGAAAAATGTTTCCCACCTGGTCGAGAATCGGGCAACCAGGTTCAGATCTGTTTTTTTCATTATCATTTTTTTTTTTATTTAATTGTGATCAAACATCTATTTTATATTGACTAACTATTTGGAAGCATAATTCAATTATGATTCAATTTTTGGCTATTCAAATTTTTTTATTTATTTTTATAACTTTGAAGCAGGTAGATGGAAAAAAATAAACTCTTGCAACTAGCATTTCTTAATTTATTGCAATATGGCCGGCTGGTGGCCGAGTAGTTCGGGGTGTCAATACTTGAATCAATACATGCTACTGTCGCGGGTTCGGTCCCGATGAAGTTGTTAAAGCTCCAAGTCAAAAAATGTACTGAATGGATGAAAACCGAAGCAATGAAATATAAGAACTCGTATTGGTAAGGAAAAAAAAATGTATGTTCTAAGAAATGTCAGGAGTGGGATTAGGATAGAAATAAAACAATCTAATTACCAATATGTTCTTTTGATTATGTATTTAGTTATTTAATAAGCATCAATAAATTATTAAAACATGTTTAACATACACTAGAATATTTTTTTATACAGATAAAGTAGAAAATAGTTTACAACAAATAAATGTTACAGGGGAAAAACATCTATACGATTAAATTCCAACATCAAGATCGCATAATAGTTAAACACTAAAATGTTTTAAAGAAAATATAATTATAATTTTTTTATGTACATACCACCAATATTGTTTAAGTGCTTACATAGATTAATGGTGATCACAGAAAACAAATATATATATATTTACCATGTATTTTTTGCTTCTAATCGGTCGTACCGCCGGGCTATAGAGGTGGCCCGTTGTCTTCCCTGATTTTCTAACAATATTCATTTTTACGTTGGCAAACACAATGGTTATGTAATAAACGCATTATACAATAAAGAAAACAAATTTAAGTACAAAAATATATCGCAATTTCAACTACGTAAAATTAAACTAACAAAATATACAAGAAAATATTCCATGGTAACAACAAATTTTTAGAAAATACTGTTATTTATTGCAAGAAATATCAAAACCAGTTTTCTTTCTACAGATTTAGGTTTGCAAAAATATCTTCCTTCCAATGAAACGTCAATGAAATATAAAAAAAATAAATACATTCATTGATATTAAAGGGGTTCTATGTGCAAATTATACACATCACAGAACCCCCAAAAAATCCAAATGTTTCAACATATAAAAAGACATAAAGAAACATTCTATACATTAATATAGGTAAATAATATCGCTAAATATAATAACTGCTTCTTTGGTTCCAACCAACTATTAAGGACGATGGAGTTTCTTTTAGAGAGCGCCTAAATCATACACAAAAATCACATTTTTCAGTCAGTTTTATGCTAGAAGCACCAATGTGTAATATCTATCAAATTTTTATAAACAATACTCCATTAAAAAAAATATCCAATCGAACTTTCAGGCACATTTACTTTTTCTTTGTAACCTTTGAATATTCGAAACGAAAAGTAATCCGTGAAAAATAAAAGTATAGGGGCCGACTTAAAATATTTTTAATTAGTTTTTTTTATGTTTTCAAGTCATTTGTGCTCCTTTATATTTTAAACTTTTTAATAAGTATAAAATTTTGAAAGGAATCTTCGTTTTTTTAATATTTCATTGACCCCTATACATATATCACTATTTCCACAAGCAACATAAAAAACTTGTTTCAGATCATCACTTTCTCTCATTTTATAAAATCCTATCTATGGTTCATTCATTCTGTTTTATATATCATAAAAATCGTCTCAAATTATCCTTGTTTCCGAGACCAATTTGTTGACATTCTCTGTCAACATTGCACCTAAGGTCTACTGTTATCTCCCATTTCACAAAGTCTCACTAACCGTGCAGCATTTCAAACTCAAACGTCACTGTCAGGGTCCGTTTCGCTGCGTGGTTGCCCGAAATTCCGAGTGATGCTCTCGCTCATCGACCGGATGTTGGCGAGATGCACATCATTGGCAGGCACTGAGAAATAGTTTAGTCTGTCTAGGTCGGGTACGGCATTCAAGTCGTCGTCCGTGCGATAGCAATTATCATACTCGGAATCGTAAAGAGCACTCAGCGAATCTAGGGACATCATGGCATCCGAGTCGAAGATGCGCGATGATGCCCTGGAGGACATGCTGGTGTTGTCGTCCATGTCACCCTCGTGGTTGTGGTCGTTGTATGCTGAGTTGACGTCACTTAGAGCACCTGGAAATCACAAAAATCTGTTTAGTTCAAGGCTTATTTATAATTTTTTTCTGAAATTACTGCTTATTTACAAATTCAAATTGTTATTATACATTACAATGCCTATAGACAGCCTTAAACTACAACTTTTATATTTTTTTTCTACGTACCCTCAGCATCTGTCAGACCAGTCTCATTGATCATTGAGATATTTTCGAGTGCAGGATCGTCGGTGGTGTACCCTGTCGATTCCTTATCATTCAATAACGGCTCAGAGGCACCACCATCTTCATCCTCGGACCATTCGGAAGCGCTACCTTCAGCTGCTGTACCAGCGACTCCTGCTTCCTGGCTGTCCAAATGGATAGTCTCGAGATTCTTCAACTTCTCCTGGATTTTCTCTTCCAACAGCCTCTTGACTTCTGCTTCCTGTCGAAGAGAGGATAGCAAATTAGATTCTTATTCTTATAAAAAAAAATGTTTAAAAATTTACCAATTCCTTATCGACTGGCTGCATGAATGAGACCAATTAAATAAAAAATGCAAATTTTTGAAAATTATTTTATGATAAGAAAAAATCAATTATACACACCCGTGCTGCTTCTTCCTCCATTCTTTTCTCGTCTCGTTCAAAACTCTCTATGTCTGTGTCATCATCGTGTCTCGGAACTTCAGGCATATCACAGTCTATATCGGTTTCTTCAGTGCACCGTGGACCCCTTTAAGTTCAGATATATTTCAAATTTCACGGTTACGATCCATTAAAAAGAGAAGGATTCAGCTTGTAATTTCAATTCCGAATAAAAGCAATGCAGTACAGGCTATATTAAATATTATATATTTAAGATATTCAGACATACTTGTCTTTAATTCTTTGTAACCATCATTTTCTACAACTAATTAGCTGTGTTATATACACGGCTGGAAACTCCACATAGTCCATCTGCCTTTGCATGAGAGCGACAAAGTAAAGTAAAGAAATCCGTGCGATAGACAAGGATGGCCATAGTGAAGACGTTTCATAATTTGACTAGTCACTCCCACTTCTAACCGAGCGCATCCCAAACGGGCGGTAACTATTCAGATTACGAAATGACTTCAATATAGCCATCCTTGTCTATCGTACGGATTTCTATGACTTACTTTGTCACTCTCGCGTAAAGGCAGATTGACTATGTAGATTTTCCAGCCCTGTATAAGGCAGATGCACAGATTGAAATTATAATATGATCCATCTCTTACTGTAAATCAAATCTTTCGACACCCCCTAGTTGCTTCTGTTAAGTGCGAGAGTGATTAAAATCTGGCATGAAATTGTAAGCGTGAACAGTGGTGAGCAAGCAGCATGGATCAGTGTTAGTGAAGCGTACAGATTTAAGAGATGGTCATTTGCTACATAACCTCAAAAACTTAATTTACCTGGTGCTACTATTATAGAATTTCCTACGGAATGAAAAATTTTGACCAACAAATGTAACAATTTACATTTAAATTTGAATGAAATTCACATTCAACTGATTTTTTGAAGGAAATTCACATCAACAGATTTCTTTCACGAATTTCGCTAAATCTCTAAATGGGCAATGTGTACAAAGTAGATTAGGCATTTGGAAATTTTCCATTTGAGAATATTTCGTGAGAAATAATTTCAAAAAGGAAATTTTTCTCAAGTATCAAATTTCCCGTCAATTTACGATTGAAAAAGTAGCTAATACAAAATCATTTAAATTTTAAGTTTTATTATAAAACTCGATTATACCACTTATTTAATAAATATATTTTTTTAATTTAATTGAGAATTTAGCAATTTGTTAAACCGATAAGATTAAAGCAAATGACAAGCTCAAATTTTATATCGAAAATACAAAAACATTAGATGGCGCTTTAAAATACTAATTTATATGTCCCTAGATTGCTAAAGTACCTCAATCACCCACTACATGGAGGAAATATGCTTACGGCGACATTGTAGATGAGTGACAAAAAGAGAAAGAGTAATATGGGTACCATTTTTCTCTCTCGTGCAGGCAGCGCAACGCAGCATGAGAGAGGGGGGAGAGAGAAAAAGAGAGAGGAAAGAGGGGGAGAGAGTGGAAAGGGGAGGGAGAGGGAGTGAGAGAGGAGGGACAGAGAGGGGGAAAGAGAGAGGAGAGGAGGGATATAGGAGAGGAGGGAGAAAGAGGAGGGATATTAGAGGGGGAGAGAGAGAGGGGGGAGAGAGAGGGGGAGAGAGAGGGGGGAGAGGGGGGAGAGAGAGAGATCACCCAAAATAATGCCCTTTCTTTTTACAGTGTCTACACTTTTTAATATGCTGTGTGCTGTGCTTCCTCCGTGTAGTATATGCTCTAATGCTATTACAGTGGTAAGTGTTTAAAGAAATATTGCTTAGTGATGTGTACCTAATTAATTACAAAATAAAAGTGAAAATGAGAAACCAAATGAAAAAAGTCACACTACAGCCTAGGAAACGACGTATTTAAAAATTAAGTTTTTATGAGGTTATGTGCAAATGGTATCTCTTTAATGGCATGTTAGTACATAGTTACACATACAGTTGGGAATATAAAAATAATTACTGAAAAAGGAAAGATAAGACAAGACTAAAAAGAAAATATTTGAGATTAAACAGAAAAAATAAAATTATATTTATATTCCCAACTTTATACGTATTTCATTATGCGATGAGACGCAGTGGCCTGTTAGTGTTGTCTCACGATGCACCAATAATACCTGTCAAGAGGTGACACTTTGGCCAGCTTATTCGGCTCGCTGGGTCCCGGCGAGGCCCCTCTCTTTAGTGACCCCTCTTTGCTGCTTGCTCGGGGAGGAGGGGACATGCACTGGAGGTTAACATTGCCGGCGGTATTAGGGTGTACCCTCAGCCCGAGCGCCAGGGCCTGGATGGCGGCCAGCCCCACCTGGTGGTTGTTATTGTTTGGCGCGTACCTGACAAGCGGCTCCAGGGCCAGGTCTTTGTTCTGCTGGTTGAGCTCCAGCTTGGGGGGGATGTTCTGGAGCAGGTTCTGTTCATCCAGCAGCTTCTGGATCTCCCTTTCGAAGGGACCCAGGTGGTTTTCGCAGTTGTCCACGTTGTTGACTTTCGTGATGGGGGATATTTTCTCCCTACAAATAAATTTTATAAATATTCCACAAGAAAATGTACAGATTTTAGATATATTCCTGATGGTAACTGAAAATATTTAAGCAGTGTGTCACATGATTGTGGCCCAAATAAGGAAAATTGTAGCACAATTTTTTTATACATTGAAATGTATCATTATGAGATATTGCAAGGTCGTAAGCATGAAGTTCACTTTATCTTGTAAAACAAATCAAATTCAATTTTCTTCGTATTTCTAACAGTGGCCGCCCCAGATATTTGATATGAATTTTATTTTTTTAACTATCCACCAATTCGACTCCTCTGTAATTTTTATAATAACTAATAAATGAATAAATTGTAGTTTTTTGGTAGGTTGGTATAAAAAATGCTCCCAAGAATATAATTTTCGTTTTCTATCTTTTTTAATTTAGAGAAAATTCTGGAAAAAATCTATAATATGTAATTTGTAGACATTTATAAATAGTTGCAACGTCATTAACATATCTCTAGTTTGGAAAAAAAATTAAATTTAACATTAAGGGTTGCCACCCCACCAGTATACCCTAATTAACGGGGGTAGAAGTCTGAAATTAAGTGTCAAGATGTTTTAGATGAAGCATAATAAATACAAAGTAAGAAGTCTTCAGACTTCAGACGCTGGCGTGTTTTCATGCTCAATCTGTTACAGAAGAAGGAAAATTGTTACTTCATATAACTTTTATAATTTTCTTTTTTTTATTTATTTGTTATAACAATGCCAACGAGGTTTACATATTCTTTTATGTTTAGTTGTTATTAATTTTCTATACCAATCTCATACAGATTTATTTAATCTATACAGGGTGTTAGAAGTTTGATTGCCTTAATTTTAACAGACGATAGAATACCTACATAAAAATAAACAAAAAAACCTTATATGACGTGGGTCCTAAACTCAACCATTTCCGAGAAAAAAATTTATCAAAATCTCCAACTTGATGTATAAAAGTTCGATTAATTAAGGAATATTGACATAACTGCGTGCATAAAATACCATAAAATAAAATGTTTATCACTTTTTTGAAATTCTTTATGCTTAATTCTAAAAAATAATTAGCATTGCAATAAATTTAAGTCAATAAAATTCATATTGAGCAGTGTGAGTGACAACAGCGCGGCGAATAACACGAGGTACTAAACTGACCAGCAATATGCAGTTCAGTTGGTATCTGGAATTGGACCGTATCTGAGTGTTTTTTGCGTACCACTATTTCTTTTTCTTGAGGTGTTTTCCAGCAAGTGAAAATTGGATTCGAAGGTGTTGTGCGTGCATTGAAAATGGTAATGGACATTTTGAGCATATGTTGTAGTTTGTTTTGTACTTTTGCATTTAAAAATTACTGAATTTTGCTTTTTGGTAAGTGTCTAAATTATTTTTAATACGTATGATTATTTGGATGACGTGCATGTTTGGGTACTTTAATTACATATTTTTCAGATTCATAATTTGATTAAAAGTTAAGTTCCTGTTTTAAGAGACTCATAATTACTAAAATTCGAGCTAAAATTTAAGCACAACACTATCTTCGTACTACAAAATCGATATATTTTATTTTATTTATTTAAAAACTGGAAAATAATTGTCTTGAAATTTATTAAATGTTTCACAATAATACACTAAACCAAACAATTAAAAGGTCAAAAGAATTTCTGAAATTTTTCCGTGATTTTTGACATACTGACATTTAAGTGAAAAATGGTCTTTTTTTCCATTTTAATCATGGTTATGAAGTGTTTAAGCTCAAAAATCGTGACCCTTTAATTTTTTCAAAAGTTTGTTTGAAACAAAGAAACGTATCACTAGATCGAGATGAAACTTCACAGGGTTCTTCTGGGTATATCGAACTGTAAAAGTCATGCTTAGCATTAGTCATTTCGTGAATATTTCTAATTTAGCTGTCAATTTTCTAAAAAACATAAATTACCCTTTTTTCCTGTTTTTTTAAATTCGTGTAAAACACGAAAAAAAAAGCAATTTCCGAAAAGTTGCAGCAGCATGTTATAGGACATTTCTTACAGTTTTCGAAACTGCTCTTCAATTCTCTGTACGACCATTTGTCACTAAGATATCGATGATTGAAGACAAAAGGATCCTTTTCCATTAAAAGTCCGATATTTCGATGAATAATGGCTGTATCGAAATTTAAAAAAAAGGAAATTAAAGCTGAATAAACAACCTATCTGGTCCATGCAATGGCTTAGATGAAAAAATTTTTTCCAAATCCGTGAACTCGGAAAAAAAATAAAAAAATTTGCAAAATTTTTTTGTCGCGCTGTTTCTTAGAATTGCATGATAACCGTAGTTCCTAAAAATTTTCGACTGAAAGATCTAAAAACTAGAATCTTAGAGCTTCAAAATGCTTTTTTTTAATTCTCGATACGATCATTTTTCATTTAAATACAGTGTGTCAAAAATCACAGAAAAATTTTGGAAATTCTTTTGACCCTTTAATTGTTTGGTTTAGTGTAGTTCTTTACATTTTTTCCATAGGACAAGTCTGCCGCGTGAACATGTGGTATGCACCAGCTGTGTAGCGTTAGGTTAAGCACTGTTGTCACGCGATGAAACTCCCCAATATTAATACTCGCTGTATTTTGAAAACTGTTAATCTTACACCCCTGTAATATACAACTTTTTTGTTCATTTATGATTATCTCATATTGAAGTAATGGCAGTCCAACTTCTTACACCCTGTATATTCATTACTTATTTATTTTTTGAAAAACAAGTTTGTATTGTAAAATAAAACAAATGCATCATCGTTATGCAATTTGCCTTCCTTAGATATGTTTTCCATATTCCAAAGAAAAGTTACATGCACAGTAGTAACGTCTTAAGAAAATTACTTAATAGATCATATCTTACGGCACTGGTAATTGAAATGCACAATTTTTATACAGTTTAGCAAGTAAGTATTATGTATCAAATGTTATGAAATTATTAATCCCGAAATAAAAAAAAATAATTTTATTTCCTTCATGTTGGCAATTAAATTATGGTAAAATTAAAAATTATTAAGACAATAAGATCAAGATTCCATTAAAACATAACGTTTTGTTTTACCGGCTCTAATTGGTGTAATTTTTCCCAAGATTCTAATCAATCAAACAACGATCGCATTATCTCGACTCGAGCATAGGCGTAATGGTTTGTTACTGTTCATGGTAAACGAATCATTAATATTGGCGACGCAAAGATTTAAGAATTTTTCATTACCAGTAGAAGTTGTACAATGTTAGGTTGCCGAAGCTCAGCAGTCACGGTGCTTGTAAACATTTATTAAGGCTTTGTACTACCAATATTGCTAAAGTTTATTTTAAAAATATAAGTAAATTTTTAATTAAAGTTGAATAACATCAACTTTAATTAAAAATCTGAACATGAAAAATGTTACCTAATATCAGTTGGCGACATCCTCAATTTTCTCAAATCTTTCTTGTCTGTTTGACATGATCCATCTCTCTTCGAACTTTTCTCACTGTTTGTAGTCATCCTGTTATCGTCGTCCTTCAGCAACTGCCTGATTTCCTCTGCCTCCTTAAAACTGGGCGATCTTTTGCAGTTCGAAGACAATTTATTGCACTCTAGCACCGAATCGCTGTCGTTTCTAATACGTTGTTTGTCCAAACTCCTCTGTTTCAGTATCTGCTTGGTAGGGATGGGTATACCAGAACCGTTAGCACTTGTTGCCCTTAGTAACGAAGCAGGCTTGGGTTTAGGGCGGGTGACAAACTCGAAACTGGTACAGCTCTCCCCTCTGCAACTCTCTTCTCCGTCTAGAACAGGCGGACTGGTAACTATAGAGGAATCGACGGTGTTGCAGGTGCCTGCCAGAGCTAAGACAGCGTTAGGTGGTAAATTGTTCCTTTTCGGGTTCACCCTGTCGGATGAATTGTTGCGCAGTGAACAATTCGGAGGGATGTAGTCCAGGGAAGCTCGAGGCGACACTTCGGGGGAGGATAACGGGTTGACTTGAATATCCGAGGGGAACAGAAACTGCTGTGTATCCGTTGGTAGAGGAGGCGACACGCAGGGTGAACCGTCGGCATCAGTAGTTCTACTGTAGCTTTCATCTGAACTACTTATACTTGGCGAGTGGTTCAAAGAGCTTATTTCATCGGCGGATGAATGTATACGTTGCGGGGCGCTACTGTTGTACAAGCCACCAAGGCTCTCATCTGAGTAATGTCTTTGTAACGGGCTGTGACGGTTGTGGTGCGGACTGTGCCTGGAGTGTAACGGACTGTGGCGAGACTGGGACAAAGGGTTGTGCCTCGTTTGGATTTTGTTTCGCAACAATTCGGGAGTCCGTTCAGGTGTCCTTTGAAGTGGTAAAGCTGCAATGGGTTGGTGAGCCAAGACAACCTGTGCCTTACTTTGATGCAGCGGGGGCATCGGCACCATATTATGGTGTTTTCTATGGTGTCTATTCGGAGATTCTTTTCCTGGTGGTTTGGGTAACGGCTTTAAGTATGGTTTAATATTATCGACAGGTTGAGTATTAACCACGGCATAAGAATTCTGCGGCCTCGGCCAAGGTGGGTTGTACTTCATTTCTGGTGTGGGCTGCCTCTGACTCTGTTGCGAATTGGTTTTGTGTGGTGGCAGGGGCGGCGGAGGAAGGTTCTCCTCACACGGTAACTTTTTTCCGTTCCTGGGTCCTTTACTAGCGACTGCTGGCAGTAGCGGTTCATTTTCACAGCCGTTTATGTGTTCTCTATGAGTGGATTCCCGAAGAGGGGGCAGTCGTACAGCGTTTGACGAGGCTCTGTATGAGTCGTCCCTGGTGGAAGACCTGTTTTGTGCTGGGTGTTTTGGTCTCCCGTTCAGGTCTCCATGGTGAAGTAGAGCCAGAGGAGTGGCTACACCTCCATACATGTTATTTAAATCTAAAAAAAAATCAGTTTAAAGTTGGCAAACATTTGATTTACTTTTCTCTAGACAACTGGCATCATCCGGTGAAACTTAAAACTAAAGTTAAAACTAGCTTTTTTATAGAACTTGTTTTAATTTTTGTTTTTTTTATTAAACTATAGGAACAGATACATTATTAAAAAGTAATATGTTTTGTTATATTTATTCTATTAGAAAAATGTTTTGGAACCTTGGGACCTTTTGGAATGAGATTTTGCAGACATTATGCAAAATATTTTTTTTTGCATTTTCTAATTGTATTTTTTTCTTTTAGTTTTTATCAACCACTGAATCAATCACAATTGTTTTGTTATAAATCAAACCATTTGTGAATAAAATGTGTTTGCTATTTATTTGCTATTTGTTAATGGCGAACAATTTTTTTTATATAAGATTAGGAAACAACTGATACCGCTGTATTCGTCTATAATAAGTAGCCATATTGGCCAATATGGTGGCCGATTTTTTACCATATATAACATTAATGTTGCTATCATGGTAAAATATCTGCATAAAAAAATCGCTAATACAGATATTTGACATCCCAGTGTTCCATAAGATTGATTAAACAAGAAAATTGAAAATATATTTAAAAAATGTGCTTTTAACAGAAAAAAGATTTTGTAAAATTTCAGTGAAGGAGCATTGTTTGTTTGGAAAATATTCGAGAAAAACATTTTTATTATTTTTTATAATACCCCAAAAAGTAAATATTTTTCTAAAAAAATACACAGAAGGTATAACCTTAAATGAGGGGTCAGTTTTTTTTTGGGTAAATAGTACACGTTAGCCAGAATATTAATCTGAAAATATTATTATTTTTTTAAATCACATAAATAGACAAATTATAATTTATTTTTTAAACTGCACTTGTCTATGCCGTCACTTGTATATGTGCACATCAATGTTGCCTGTTATTACCATTTTAATTCAAATGTATGAAACTAACGAAATGGCAGGTTAGCTCCCTGCAATCGATCATAAATTTGTAAAAACAGATTGTTTTGTGTGACTTTGCAAGAGGTTTTTTAAAGTCACTATATTTTTTTGTGTTAATGCGAACAAATCGCCAAACATTAAACAAATATATATATTTTTCACGATTTATTAATATTAACTAATGTTGAGATGTGGTTAGGTATTTCAAGGTTTTAATAAAAAGTATTTGTTACTATTTTCTTGAAGCACTGTATTTAGTTTGTGAATTTCAGTATTAATGATCTCTGACAATAATTTAATTTAGATTAACTACATATAATAATGTCAATCCGCCTGATGTGATATGACAAGGAGTGAACAAAAAATTACATTTATTTTAGTTTTCAGTGTTTATAATAATCATGACGTTTTGCAGGAAAATATTAGTTTTTACTGGAATCAAAATAGAATTTTTATTGTGTAGTGCCGTGTTTTATTATATTTAATTTTATAGTAAAATTAAAAGTTATTGATTTCAGTGTTTATTGACACTACAGTGTCGTCATTGTTTAAACTTCTGTGCAGTATGAAAAAACATGTACGTGAATCGAGCAAGATGAGATTTGACAAGAATCCATGCCTTACTATAGCTTCCAATTATACTCGGCAGCCGAAATTATAAAGAGTGACTAATACATAATATAAAAACACTATTACCATAATGCGTATAAAATATAAAATGATTTCTATATGGTTCAATATTATTTGTCTTTGTGCCGCTCGCCATGCACATTGGTAGAATCTATAATCGTGTATAGACTGAGTTACACTGAACGTCGATCTATATTTTATCTCTGTCTTTTGCACTTGGTAGGGAATAGGGAAATGCTTTTTTAGTGGGTGTAAACGGACTTGATTTGCCCGACCTGAGAAACGTCATAGCATAAGCGTAGACGAGGGGTCTAATTCCATTGCTATAATATATTTATAAATTAAAAAAACACAATTGGGACGTTTTAAAATGTTGTAATAATTAAAATTGATCAAAGTGCCGGTTATAGCAAACCGTAAAAAATATTAGATGTTATGTTTTATTATGTTTTTTCAATATTTTCTATATCTTGTTGCCTTTTACGCAGACACGCCAATGGATTTTCGTTCCCGGCACGCTTCATCCCCCTTACTAGTACAAGAGCTAGCGATGAATCACTATCTATAATTTTGACCATCGAGTATAGGTATGTATACTTTCATGATTAGCACGGTTATTTGAGGTTACACTAGCCTGTCTAGCAGTGGGGTATTTAAATTAATAAAAAAATATTACTAACAGAATTTGAGAAAACACATCTATGATGTGTGAATGTCAAAAGTAATCTCTATATATGACCCCCATTGAATATAATATACTTGTTCCTAAAGTTTAATAAAAAATTATCAAACGACCCTTCGTAATGAAATTATAAAACATCTTACTGTTGTTGACGTTGTTCGCATTGGAACGTAAACTATTTAGTTCTTCCACCCTTAGGGTACCTGGTTGTTTTCTATCAATTAAAAAGTAAGTAGTCATGTCTCCTTTGCCCTTCACTTTCACCTTCCCCCTACACTGGAATTCATACGGGTATGTCCTGAGTACTTGGTACACCTCTTCGGTGACCTGAGTGTGATTGGGCAGTCCCGTTGAATCCATGCGACTTGCGACATTCACAGTGTTGCCCCATATGTCGTATTGGGGCTTCCTAGCACCTATAACACCCGCCACAACCGGCCCTATGTTTATTCCTACAAAAAAAGGATATTTTAAAATATTTATATATTTAATAAACATTTTGGCAGCTCACCCACTCTGAGCATGAAATTATTATAAGAGTTCTCATTGATGTTGAGCAGTCGGTCTCTCATGGCGAAAACGAACTCAACTAGAGTGGACAGGTGTATCCCGGCAGTAGTTTCGTCATCGTCTAGTATCCTCAAATCCGGCATCAAACCTACAGCGGCCATGTAAGTGGATCCGACAGTTTTAATTTTGTCGATGGCCTTAAACCTCTCTTCGGACAACAAGTCGTCGAAATCGGCAATGATTTCATTTAACAGCCTTAAACATTCCACGCCTTGGTTGTTGCCGTCTAGTTCCGTATAGAACTCGTGGTAGTTGGTAATGGAGGCGAAAACCACACCCACCCTCGAGTAGCTCTGATGGTAAAGTTCCTGTGATAGAGTATTCTGTAAGAAAATGTTTACATTTTTGTATTCCACCCCTTTGTGCAGCCAACATCCGGACATCTAACCTCCAAAAAATAGAAACCAAAAGAAACAATGAAATCAAATCACATTTATCACAGAATTTCCAAACAAAAAAAAGACAAAATGTTGCCTACACATATAATAACAAAGTACGACAGATAGTCCCACGGTTCTCACCATGTTGTTGCGGAATTGGTTGTCGAGGAAGTGGGTCGCCACGTGGGCTGGTAATAGGTTGAATAATATCCTCTTGTTGGAGTGTTGCAGGGCGTCCATCTCTCGTTTTTCTTCGTTGGCCTGGATTTGCCACAAGAAATCGAGCCGCGCCGTCCATTCCACCTGCCTGCCGTGCAGGAGTACGGCTAAGACAAACATGAGTACTTCGACAACACTAAGTACATGCTGCGGAATCACCGTACTGCAAGGAAAAGTATCATCATACATAGATTACGTGAAGATGCCAAACGCAACTCACCTGTCTCCATCGTCGTAGCACCGGAACAGATTAATATGGGACAGTTCTATTAGGAGTATGTAAACAGTCGACATGATAAGTAGTAACAACGCCTTAAGTAGAATTGGAAGCCTTAAAAATATCGCCACAGCCAAATACCCAAGGGCACAGGATAAAACAATGTAGTGAGGCAATGGGCACTCCCAATGCTTCTCATTCGGGTTCAACGTCACATTGACATTCTCCATGGAGGGGCAAGGCACACCCGAATGACATGTAAACTAAAAAGGAATTAGAGTAAAAAACTTTTTTAAAACTCAACATTCTGTGTATATGAAACCACTATAGATTCTTGGTGCAAAAATAAGATGACAAGTGACAACTAAATTCGCCTCAATCCACAGTAGCTACGCTTAGCTGTTAGAAGACATCAAAGTTGGTGATAACTGTTGCTATTTTCTAAATACTTTATCAAATTTAAAATAAAAATTTAGTATACTAGTACTTGGTATATACAGTGTGTCTTGTGTTTTCCTGGCAACATTTCCTTAAATACAAGTAGAAATGGACGAAATTAAGTGGGTCTATTTTTTTAACGGTAGGTCCTGAAAGGTTGGAAAGATTTGACAATTATTGGTTTTCAATATTTTTCAAAAATACGTTAGGTATTTTTTTTTTTGAACAATTATACTGTTGGGTTATTCTACAAAATTAAAAAAAAAAATGATAAAAAAAACAGCCTCATATGTTTATAACAAAACAAGATCTGAAGCTATAGGGCAATACGTGCAACAAATATAAACATTTTTGCTTAGAGGTAGGATAATTAATATCTGTATAACTTCTGTTATAATGATATCAATACATAAGTACTAGTATATTAAATTTGATTTAAATCAGATAGTGTTTTAGAGTTTTTTGAAACAAACAATTTTTTTAATGCTCTCTAAATCAATTTAATTTGACTCCAAGAATATATAGCAGTTTCGTATAAGTATAAGGAATATTAGGACACTCTGTTAAAACCGAATCTTACCACATTAACTTGGGCTACTGTGTAAATCAGTATAATGGTAAACACGGTTATGGCCAATCGTAATGCGAAACTGTGGGAGATGTCCCACAATATCCATCTCAGTCTGACGGCCAGAAGTAACATCAGCACCACCGAAATCCATATAAAAGCAACTAGGAACAACATAACTAAAAGTACGGTGTTGGGCAACACTGCCACCTGCAAAGTGCCCAGAAACACCAGGAGGATCAGGGCGCAAACTAAGGCTGAGCTATAGCCCACATCCAAATCATCATGATACTAAAAAAATCGATAGTTAGTAAAAAAAATTAACTAAGATCCGTTATATAGCTGGTCGCTATAATTTTTACAGTATTTTCAGGAAATGGCCAACTACACTACTAGATCTTTGACATGCTGATAATAATTTGAATATATTTTGTACCTATCTGCTAAAGAATAGTCCAAATTTTACCACTAGATCCTACAATGAAAATTAATAGAGGTAGTTCATATAAAATTTGTTGATAGATACTTCATGTACCTAACACGTTAAAGTTAAGAAAAAAGTTAAACCGTCATTTTACAATAACATGTCTGCCTCTGATCCGAAGCTTGGCATTGATCAATTTATTCGCTACCTACCTAGCAGCACGCTAATGCCTGCCCTGTGGGTCTGGCGTGTCAGTGAAAAATCCGGATGTTTTGCTAAGTGTGAATAAGTTTGACACTTTGTTGTATGGTACTTGTTTTTATGGCAGTCAGTAGCATTGTGTATTGTGAGCATAGAGCGGCACACGATTTGACCACAGATTTAGCCTATTTCTGCTACTACAACGTGCTTACTAGCATAGTATAGATTACTACTGTTTATTTATTTGATTGTTGCCACAAAGTTCCCGATGTCTAGTAATTAAATACATTTTTAGTTTAACATAAAGTATACAAAACGTATCGACAAAAAAATAAAACATAAATAAAAGCTAAAATAGTTACTTAATTTAAAATCTTGAAAAAAAAATGCAAAATATGCAACATTGTAGTTTTTCTGAAACTCATAAACGAAAGAAGTGCGAGCATTACAAAAAAGAAAAAACATTAGACAGTAATTTAAATCTCAAGTAGCTGTTTCAGGAATTGAGATTTGTAAAAAAAGTCCGATATTATTATTATTGGCGAACTTAGAAGCCCTATTATACAAGTATTAAATCCAAAATTTGTTCTGTGAGTTGCCTGTTGAAAATAATTAACAATTGAGTATGCTGATATTTGTAGCAGATGTATACAAAATGTTTCCAATAAGTCAGGACATGACACTTTGAAATTATGTTACAAAATAAGAAAACTAAAAGTTTCTAAAGTTTTAATGTGAAATTCTTGTTCAAATGCCACATAGTTCGAGTAGATCGAGGTTAAGATAACAATTTGATTTAAAACCAACAAGCCTTAAAAATTTATGTTGCACTTGTTCCTAGTTGTCAATATATTATAACAAGTGCTCTAGACACAAGAACGAACATACTTAAGATGGAGTCTTACTACAGTACGAGTGATTTTGTAATGTTTGAGATCAATGTTCTCTCTAATTTTTTCGCTGATTGCGCGATACAAAAGTATATACTATTTTTAGATTCTTTTATAAAATGAAATGAAAAAAAAAATGGTGAACAAGCCCACATGTGCCCGGTTACAAAAATGGCTGCGCAACCTTCCAAAAATTAGTGCGCGGAAAGGGAACTTTGTTGGAGGTGTGTGGATTGAAATTCAAGCTAGTGTCTAAGGTACCTAATTCCCATATTTTCCATACCACTGATTGATTTCAGAGTTGATCCATCTATAGAATACGTATACAGGGTGTCCCATAATTAGTGTGCAACACTTTAGCAGTAGATTCTACGATCAAAAATAAGATTATTTTTTCCTATAAACAAGGGTTGAAAAATGATTCCTAAGGGAGTTACGTCCCCCTAAAAGGGTCTTCAGATCATACCAAAATTCATAATGATACGTTAACTGGTCTTGGAAATATTTTGAAAAATATGATCTCCTGAGGCCCCTTTTAGGGGGCGTAGCTCACTTAGAAAGCATTTTTCGACATTTGTTTATAGGAAAACATAATCTTATTTTTGATTGTAGAATCCACTGCTAAAGTATTGCACACTAATTATGGGACACCCTGCATATCATTTATTTTATTTTTTGATTTGATGAAAGTAATTCATTTGTGCACCAATTGACAAGATTAATAAGATCAGACTGTATACTACGATTAACAAAAACAGAACTAATTGTCGAGAAAATTTAGAAAATAACTTTTGACTCTTTTTTTCTTTAATAACTCGTATTTAGAAAATAAGGACTTACTTACTCAGCGGAACTTATTTCTATTTACTGTTGTACTACGCGATAGCTCCATATCTACTGCCGAAAAGGACGCCTATGATTTCGCGCCATTTATTAAAAAAAAAGTTTTATTATAACGATATCTGTACGCCTATGGATATTCCAATTCAACTGAAACTATTATAATAGAGGTTCAGGGTATTATTCGCCATGTTAAATTATGGAAACGTCACATTTTTATATACTACTACTTCCATTAATTTTCATAGTGGAAACTAGTGGTGAAATTTGACCAATTCTCTAGCGGACACCTTGTATAAGAAATATAATACTAACCTGGTTCTCTTTGTGCCTGTCCTTAAAACAGAGTGTGAACAAGTTGACGTGGGTTGATTTCTCCCTGTCCACGCTCCTGGCCTCGATCGCTTGCGCTAAGTACTTATTAACTCGGTTAGAGGGCGTGTGATAGACGCTGGAGTGCCGTTTTTTAAAGGGCCTTTTGAATTTCTCAGTTACCTTATTCTACAATCACGAACATCTCAATTAGTAAAAGTAACGACGTGGCGATGGAAGTTTTAAGCTCGAAGCAGATGTGTATGCGCATTTTTTTATTCATGAATGGTTTCGATTAAAGAAAGCGTTGTTTTTCACTTGAATAAGCTGGTAAACGAAGCGTACTCTTTAAGTTTAGTAAATTAATGATCGTGTTAGTAATATACAGCATAAAAATACAAAATATCGATTTACGTCTTAGCAAAAAAAAATATTTACACACATTACAAGTAGTTAAAAGACAGTATATTAGTTAAAGTCATGTCAAGAATACTAGCGCTAAACAAAAACAAACAAAAAATCAAACGTAAATTGCATATCCACACAAATGTTCGCAAATACTTGGATTTGTCTATGAAGTAGCATTTATTTTCATATCAACAAATCTGTATTACTTGTATCCAGTTTTTTCTATTCGCAATCATCAGTGTGTGGATATAAAAGCGGAAACAATTTCTTTACCAAAACAGCATATTACGCGGGGCATCCCACTTTGAACAAACAATTGCAAACATCTCTTTTGCATTAAATAATGTCCACAAACATCAAAACAGTTCTGTGATGAATTTGGCGCCTAACTCCGGGCGCCGAAAACAACAAATATTCATTTCATAATACTTTTACTGGAATTAGTAGTCTTACAATGTATGCAAAGGAGGTGTAGAACTGCTTTATAGTGAGACCCCCGACGAATATGCGGAGATATAGGAGAGAAATGTTGGAACAAACGCAAAGCGAGTGAGTAGGACTCACGTTGCTGTCAGTTTCTCGGGGATGGCGTGTTTCTTGTGAGGGTGAGATTTCTGCGTGGAGCACCCTTTGTAGTTCTAGCACCTATAAGCCACATTAGACCAACTAAACACTAAACTAACGTTAGGGACACCGACATACACACAACGACTATTTTACTATTATTACGGTGCGTTTGCCAGACACTTAATACTACTTTACCAACAAATAGACAAGTTCAGCAACGTGTGTGTAGAAGCAACTGTTTTAGATGATGTTCTATTAATGTACTAAATTCTAACAAAGAAATTTACCATTTTCAAACTAAAGAGAGGGAAAATGATTTGTTGCAAAGAAATATAAGATATAACAGCGAGTTGAGAAATTTGTTTTTGCTTTATTGCCAAAACGCCGTCAAAACGAATAAAAAAACTAGAGTAACATTGATCAAGAACTACGAAGATTCAAATTTGGTACAGTGCAGTTTCCTCATAGTAGCTAACTTAATGTAGAATCAATTTTCTATTTATTGATTATCCTTCGTAGAAGTGATGTACTCTATTATAATTTTTTTAAGTAAATATTAGTTTTCTATGAAAATTTAATCAATTCTGTTTTTATGCACCGACTATTTCCACGTAATTTTAACTCATTTTTTTTAATCGTAACAAGTTTTGCATTTATTTGCATAAAAGATAATCAGATGGTTAGATTTGACTTATCCATAATTACGTTGGTACTTAGAAATACATAAAAATTAGATCAAACTAATTAATTTTTATCTATGATTTGCTGCTGACGAGTGCATACTATAAATTGTCTTGTTTTTATAACTTTCATTCGCGAATCGTGTCTTTATACGAAAATTCGAGGTATGAATGTTTTTTTAATAGGAAATACTCTTCACATTTAAATGAAGACAACTGCACCGGTGGCGTACGTAAGAGAGGAGGGGGTTTAGGTGTAAGAATGCCCTCGTGACAAGTAATTCTCGTGTATTTCTCTTGCAACGGCAAGGATAGTCAGCATTGGGAATATACAGGGTGATTCAGAACTTATCCAAAAAAAAAAAAATTCTGGATGTACAGGGGACCCTTACAAATACAATTTTGTAAAGAACAAATCAAAAAGGTCAGTTCGAAATTGATTTAAAAATACACTTCTGCACGGCACTGGAAAATGGTCTACTGTAAAACCTGACCACGCACAATGCGACCGGTATGGCGTGATAAAAATGGACAAAAACTTTCGCAAGGAAAGAAATATGTAAATAGAATTTTATCGCACCAATTTTATATCGGCAAATTCAAATGCTTTTGCCTTTATTAATTATTAATGAAATTAATTTGTGTTTTTAAATAATAAAATCATTTAACATACCCGATGCTGCAACAGCAATTGTTCAAAATTTTATAAACTCACGTGTAAACACATTTGGGTCCGTCTTACTCACTTTCTACGAACTAACACAAATGATGTCTTACTTCACCATAACACAAATACTTCACCATAATACAAATGTTGTCTTGCTTCACCATAAATTAAAACGATATCCATCAATTCTGAGTTGCTATACACGCAAGCCATTTTTGACAGTAACTACTAAAAAACTGATGTAAATACCACAGATAACAGGTAAAAACTACCGCAACGACGGATTTCAGTATTAGGAGTCACATGGCTCTCCACGCGTATTGCGAATGACGCTAGAGACTACAGTTGTCCAGCTATGTAGTGGTTTAATGTGCTATAACTTCAATAATTTTTTTCTCAGAAACTATAAGGATTTTACAAATTTTTTTTTACAATTTTGACTCAATTTTTTACGCCGCATCTATTCCCAAATTTTTTTGGATAAGTTGTGAATCACCCTGTATAGAATGGCACGAATTATATATTTTGCTAAAACGTTTCTTAATATGAAATATTCCAACTAATTCTTGAATAAATACAAATTTTTTACTTCTAGGTAAGTCATTAGTTTGTAAAGACAGTTTAATAAAATTTCATTTCTAGACATAATACCCTACTGGTTTTCTATATCTTTCACTGTTTTTGAGATGTAAAAGTAAACTTTTTTCTTATGGGTGTTAGATTAGTCTTTTATATAATTAGTAAAGTTATAATCGAGTCGGTATCTGTTTCGGGATGGATGTTTTATATAGTAACGATAATTTTTGTTGGGAATAGTTTTAAATATTATGTAGATTAATAATTGCGATATGCGCTCGCTGATTCAAACTCGGACAATATTGACATTAGGGAAAATAGTTAAAGGAAAAAAGTTTCGTTATGAGATTCTCCTTAAAATAAAAGCAGTCCTTAATTTTTACGTGCATTATTGTTGCTGCAATACAGTATAGACTGAAAAAAAATCGTTTTTTCATGAATTTATTTCAGACCTTGACTTTAGAGCAGCCAGCCATATAAAAAATATGGTACTGAGCACTTCACGATATGGTCGTATTGCAGATATTTTTTTATCAAAATCGGCAGGGTAGATTTCGCACAACTGAATTGTTAATTAAGAAAATACAAAATTATACTTATTTTTCAATTCTCTCTCACGATAAAACCAATGATTATTTTGAGCTCCCAATTTTTATACATACTCTTTGGAGTCTCAACTATCAATCCCCATTTAAAATTTTTTGATTTCAACCATTTTAGCAACAATTAGAATTTTTTCAAAATTTCTTCAAAAAAATCTTCAAATGTAATATTAGCGTTACTAAATGAAACGTACATACAACATACTTTTAAAACAGATACCGACTATACTATTAAGAAAACACAACGATATGTCCTAATTTGAAATTTTATTTTCAAGGCGTTGACTAACCATTTCTATAAACAGGTAACCATGACTACCGCTGTAGACACTTTACAGATTTATATTGTAAACTAAATTTTAAATTAAATATTTTACTACAAATATTTGTAGGGGAGCGGCACCTCAGAGCCCTCCTCCCCGCACACCAGCCGTCACTGCTAGTATATCAACTACCCAGAACAGTTCGAAGTTTCAACCCCTCCCATGACAAAATTATGTGTACGTCACTGAACTGCACTGTACCTAATTTGAAGGTCGTGTCTTCGATGAACTCTGAGTAATTGGTCAAAAACTGCACTTTAAATTTTTAACAAATCATGAAACTTCTAGTTACCGCTTTAAATATACTTCTGTGTGTTTTTATGATATGAATCGGTCCTGAGAGCTTGTCGCAACGTCGCTGTTATAGCTTGTATTCCTTTTTGACATTTTAAAAAATAAAAGTTACCCAAAACAGCTAGCTTTAAAAAGTACAAGGTAGATGTTTCCTTGATAAAGACTTATTCAGAAATAGTCAAGTAAAGTTAATGTTCTTTGGCAATGTTTTAAACTAGTTACAAGTTTTTTTCTTAACTTCAATTTAAAAACATTTCAACTGGGAAGAACAACAAAGTATTTTAAATTTATCCTGGTAATTTTAGTATTGAGTATTGACATCTTATTTTCCTGTATAGACCTCCGAATGAACTATTAATTCGATCTACCCTGTATATTATAGCAATCGAAATGTAATCAGCCTACCAGACGACTCTGATTGCCCGAAGCAACTTCTGGTCTCAGAGGTAGTTTCCAATAGCAATGATTACCATAAAGTTTCCGCTAAAGCCATCTCACGATACTTGGCACCTAACAGTTGCCTACTGTACTACTACAAAGGACATAACCATGGACAATAACACTAAAGGGAAATTATGGGGCCATAACAATTATTTGTTATGTCTGGGTGGGTCGAAAGATATTGCATATCGAGAAGCGGGCATAAAATTTTATAATCACATGACTGAGATTTCGAAAAATTCGTGTCTTTTACACGAATTTTCGGCTCTTTTCGGTTTTGCATTTAACAATTTTTAACCCAACAAATTTTCCAAGAAATTGTGACAGTTTGCTATAATCGTGGTGCATGCTACAACGAATTGTCCAATATATTGGTCAAATTTAAAGTTATCGTCTCTTGGAATAAAAATTAACCTTGGTAATACCAAAACAAAATATATGCTTACAATACAAAGTGAATATTAATGAATATTAAAAGTCATTAATTCCCAAAACTGGCCAGTTCTGTTGTCCCCAATTTCTTCCGCATGTGAGATTTTCATAATCACGAATACGAGTGTGAATGTAATTATTTCATGTCAATATTCCTGTTTACAGATGCGGAATCGAGTATTAAAAGAGAGCTAAAAATTGGATACTAAAAACAAATCCAAAATTTCTCTTAACTTCATTACAAAGCCGGATATAATGAGAAAAAAAAATGAATTTCTTAATGACAAGGAGAATTAAACATTGCACTATTTGCAAATAGCCGAAACAAGAGACTTCTTGAAAAGTTATCATGACATAATTACGATCATTTGTTGTTTTCAATGGTCTACTTTTTCTCGTACACACTCTGGATAACCCAGAAAAGGTTAGCTCGGTATATTTGGCTAAATATATGAAGGAAAAAAAAAGACATTTTTTTGGTTGTAGGTACAATTTATAAACAGTTTTATGTGTTTATCTGCAGTTTGTTTTAAAATAAAAATAAATTTCATCCCTTTTTTATAACAAAGGGAGATTTATCTTAAAAATAACGTTTTCATGAAACGCCACTTGCAATAATAATGTTTGTATTTACATGGTGCAACTTTAAGTGGGTAGCAATTTTTTAGGGCTTATTATTTTTTAAATCAATTAATAGTCGAATTATAATTATTAGTTTTTCAAATTATATTTAAACTCTTGTATACAGAAGCTTCTGGACTTCGTTGTTATGTACCTTTTAAACCAACTACATAAATTAAACTGACGAAATGGCAGAGACCGAAACTGCAATGAAAAAACTAATTTCGTAAAAATATATTAGTTTTATAATTTTGTGACATCATTTGAAAACTAACATATTTTTTTATGTCAATGCCGAATATTAAACATTTTTGAATATTTTACATATTAACTGACATTCATTGTAAGTAAAACTAATTAAGATTTTAAAATAATTTTTTTAGCTGTTTGATATTATCATATCAGGATTCCGCACAAAGCTTACGGATTTCAGGTCCCAGTGGATTTGACTGAATTTTTGAAATTTTGTACTCCCTCCTGATCAAGTGTCAATGGGCACAAAGTCCAAAAATGGACAGGAAATTCCTCTAAAATGAAACATTTCTTGGGACTGCACGGTAATATACGATTTTGGATCATTATAGATACATAAGTTCAATATCTTCATGTATATTTGGCCCAATTAACTCCCATAAATCATCTACCCTAATATACAGGGTTTTCAAAAAGTTTGGAACCCCCTCTGTCTCTGAAAATACTACTCAAACAAAAAAATTATTAGGATACAAGTTGCAGGGTTTTGAGTAAGCAATCCAACGGTGACCTTGACCATGACCTTGACCTTGAAGGTCATTTAGAGGTCAAGTCGAAAATTTTAAATGGAACCGTATACTTTTGACCCCGGAAATGGTAAGAGCGGAAAATTTTACGTTCGCATGTGACCTTGACCATGACCATGATCTTCAAGGTCATTTAGAGGTCAATCTGAAAATTTTAAATGGATCCGTATATATTTTTGACTCCGCAAATGGAAAAAATGGAAATTTTTACGTGCGGATATATTATATTGGACTAAAAATTTGATTAAAAAAGTTTTCAAATTGCCCTGTAAACGACCTCCAAGTTACAGCAAGGTCACCGTTTGATTGCTCACTTTTAACCCTAACATCTCGGTAATTTTTTCACTGATGAGAACCTTCGAAGACAGGCTGTTGAAAATACTGTGACCTTGAAACTACCATGATGTCAAGGTCATGGTCAAGGTCACATCCGAACGTAAAATTTTTCGCTCTCTTCATTTTCGGGATCAAAAGCATACGGTTCCATTTAAAATTTTGATCTTGAAAGTCATGGTCAAGGTCATATCTGAACGTAAACATTTCCATTTTTTCCTTTTCCGGGGTCAAAAATATACGGTTAAATCTAAAATTTTCAGGTTGACCTCTAAATAACTTTCAAGATCATAGTCAAGGTCACCGTCGGATTGCTCACTCAAAACACTGCAACTTTTGTCCTAATCATTGTTTTGTTTGAGCAGTATTTTCTGAGATAGAGGGGGGGTTCCAAACTTTTTGAAAACCCTTTACGTATATACAGCGTGTTTAATTTTACATTACACACTTGAATATCTTGTCAGGAAACGTACCCATTCGAAAATAACCCTTACGAAAGTTGTTGGGTTTGAAGGGGGTTGGTGACCTTCCATTTGACCTTGACCTTAACCTTCAAGGTCACTTGAAGGTCAAATCTAATTTTCTAAATGGGGACCACTATTTTTGACCCGGATTCAGAAATTTTACGTTTAGATAGGTACTTAAGGCTTGTTTACGTTTAGATAGATACGTTCGTTTACGTTTAGATAGGTAGGTAACTTAAGGCTCTTCTTCTTCGTCAAGGTCAAATTGAAAGAAACCATCCGATGTCCCCCTCCGAACCCAACAACTTTTATAAGGGTTATTTTCGGATTGATGGCTCCCCTGACGAGTTATTCAGGTGCGTAATTTAAAAAATTTGCCCTTCAAATAAGGTTTGAGCGGAGTCCTTTAAAATTAAAAAATATATATATTTTACTGCTTTTAAAACACTGTGCTTAGTTTGTGAATCTTGATGTCAATAATCTCTGACATCGACCTAGTTCAGTTGAACTGCATAATATCAATCCACCTGATGTGATATGACAACGGGGCGCTAGGCGGGTAAAAAATAAAAGACCGACGTTAATTTCAACAAACGAGAATGACGAATATGTCACCGCTTTATTTTATTATACTTATTTTAGTTTTTAGCTTATCGGTTTACGACAAGGTGTTTGTAAAACATTAATTCGACTTTGTGCATGAAATATTAGTTTTTGTTTAATTCGAAATTAAATTTGAATAGTGCAGTGTCGTGTTTTATGAATTTTATAATAAAATTTAATTGGTATTTAATTAACACCTTATAAAGTTATTTAATTCCTTGTTTAATGACGGTACGATGTGTTTGTGTGTCTTCATTGTCAAATTTCTGACTGATATGAAAAAACTTGTATATAAATCAGGAAAGATGATATTTAACAACAGTGCACACCGTGGTTCTCAATTGTTTGAGGCTACACTAGTCTGTCCAGAGGCGGCATAAGAAAATTACGAAAAAAAGGTTAAATAATCAGTTTTCATTACGGGACTTGAGAAAATAAGCTTATAGTTCTAAATCATTCCCTTTCAAAGTTACACCCTTTACATCTAAATTTGGCCAATTTCTTATAAATTTATTGAGTCAAGAATTGCTAAATGTAAAACGAACTTTACGGAAATAGTTTTTTTTTCGTTGTTGCAATATGTTTTGATCCCACAAAAATGGTTATTCGGACATTTGCGTTTTTGCAGAATTTGTGAATTCTTCTACAGGGCGTGTCAAATTTATCGAAACCACTATCTACTAAACGCCCTGTGCTGGAAGAAATCGCAAACAACCAACAACGTGGACCACCGGGCATGCCAAAACCAGACAACAAGCCGTGAAATAGTGAATGGTGCTAGACTAGACCAACAAAGAAGACGTGTAGACCATGAGACCATGAGGAAATGCGGGTGGCCAGAATGTGTGCGTTCGCGACTCAAGCTGGTGGGAAATGAGACTCACTTTGCTGCTAGTTTGCGCGGCATGTTGTGACGAGTCACACGTCGAAGGATCGGCGTGGAGCACCCTCTGCAGGTCTAGCACCTACAAAGCAAGTACACACCCAAGGATGTTTAGAATCCGGACTATTCGACTGGGCAAAGCGCGGCGTTTCGTTCCATCATCGATGAACACACCGACTGTGACCGCCAAGGTCGGTATGAAATAAATGGTCGTCCTATTTGCTACGATATAGGCAAAACGCTCTACGTATATATACAGAGTGTCCCACTAGTGCGGGAAAGTCCAATATCTATGTTAAAATGAGGAATATATGGATTTTTCTTTTTATTGTGTTGCCACATTTATCGGAATGTACAAATTAAAAATATATTCAACTATACAGGGTGTTCCACTTTTCCTGGACAGACACCAACTTTGGTTTTTTAAATGGAAACACACATTTTTTATATTTTTTTCGGATTCTACATAAAAAATAAAGGGTACTTTGTGTAG